TTTTTAATGTATCATAGCTGGAAAACTAGGAAGCAATGCAGATTCAGTACCTAATATTCGCTATAGACCTCAAGAAGGTCTATAGGTCTGTTTGTACAACCAGTTCAAAAGTAATTAAATCTGTGCCTAAGTCTCAAACACTAAACAGATCAGGTCATGGAATGGTTATAGAGAAAACAACAAAATTAGAATAAAGATATGAAGCAATGATGGAACAATATTTAGGAATAACATGCACATTTAATCTTCCTGCAGCTTTGCACAATAGGTAGAGGGTGTAGATATATGTGCTCAGAAAATTGTTCTGCTGACAGGTACATAGCTGGATGTTATTGGTGGATTTGACCAAACCAACTTCGCAAAGCACCTTCTTATGGGCAGGAACAGTAAGACTATGGATGCAGTAATAATATTCAACCTGAAATGCATTAATATATTCAAGATCCTAGACGATGACCTTTCCCTGAGGAAATAAATTCACCTTCCATTGCATTTACAAGGATTACCAATCAGGAAGAAGTCATTTAAGTTGCCCTGTTCAGTGGCAACACTGTTACTCAGCAGAGTGATACAGGCAGTTCAAGCTTGAGCCCACTAGAGTAGTGTGATCATTGAGATGCTTATGTTTCAAAAACCAAGGACAAGAAACAGTGGTTATTTGCTCTCACATGACTTCACTGATAAGGAAGACCCACTTAAAAAAAGACTTGCTGAGAGTGGACTGATAGGACAACATGGGTGACTTAAAAGAAATGGGCATGACCGTTCCATCCAGAATCCCTGCACATACTTATCTCTGCAGATAGGAGGAAACCAGTCCAAATTACTTGACCAAGAGCTCGGAAATGAGAACCCTGAATTGTCTTGTGCTGCTTCCAGGTTCAGAGGGGCTCTGTGGCAATATTTGGAATCATCTTTGAAGAGCATGAGAAAAATATGACAGATATTTGAAAGACTAAAGTAACATTAAGTAAGTAAGACCAGCTTCTTAAGAAAGATGGAATTGATGAACAAGATTAAAATAGTAAGAATAACACTAAATCAACTTTGCAGAAACAGTCATTATTGTTCAAATAATAACCAACAGAGACTGCGGCCTGTGGAGTATCCCTGCTGGAGCAGATTCCAGTCCGGACCTGTAGCCCGTGGAGAGGAGACCACGCAGAAGCAGGAGACCTGGCAGGAGCTGCTGCCCGTGCAGGACTCAGGTTGGAGCACTGTGCTCCTGAGGGATGGACCCTGTGGTACGGACCCATATCTGGAGCAGTTCTTGAAGAGCTACTGCCTGTGGGAAGCCCACACCGGATCAGTTCACCAAGGACTGAATCCCATGAGTGGAACCCCACAGCACAGGGGATGAGTGGCCGAGAAAGAGCAGCGGAGAAGAAGCGCTATAGACTGACCATAACCCCCATTCCCCCATGCCACCTGGGGGAAGGAGGTGGAAGAGGGTAGATGGGAGGAAGGTGCTTTTGGTTTCTTTCCTTTGTTTCTCACTTCTCTAGCTTGTTAGTAATAAGCAATAAATCTTACTATCTCCCTGTGCTGAGTCTGTTTTGCCCGTCACAATAATTCCTGTGCGATCTCCCTGTCCTTATCTCAACCCTTGAGCCCTTTTCATAGTATTTTCTCCCCATTCCTCTTTGAGCAGGGAGAGTGAGAGCACGGTTGTGGTGGAACTTGGCTGCCCACCCAAGTAAAACCACCACAATGAGGAAAGATCAGCTGTCCTGTCTAGAGAAGCAACTGTGCTCTATGGAAAGAAATTTGTCAGATGGTTCAGGCAGAGAAGGCTACACAGTAAATTAAAAAAAAAAAAAAAAAAAAAAAAAAAAGTAGACCTGTGAACTGAGAAGTCATCCCTAATCCAAAGAAACTCTGGAGAAGCCCAGTCCAAAGACATTCTGGGAGAAAAGCAAAGTCCTGAAACAAATTTCCTATTAAAGGAATTTAACAGACGGTCAAGAAAAAGTTTCATTTCAGTATAATTACTGCTAAAGCTCTCTGCAAGTCCTTAAAGGACTGTTTCTGTCTTGTGCAGTTCTTCCTACCCTTTAGGTCAGAGTGGCAAAATATGCACAAAATCTTGCGCAAGTGGCTAGACTCTACATTTCCAGTCACAAGAAAGGCATGCATTACCCCAACAGTCCCACTTTTTAAATTATTCCTTTTATTTGAAGCAAAAATGTAAATACACAGGAGTACACAAAACACATTCACATTCTCAACATATTTGTTCAAACATGCTACATTGTTTTTATAAAACTTAAGAATCATCCAAATCATATTAGTTCCCATACTCTATCCTGTTCCCCCAAAACGGAGCAAGTAAAAGCAATATTTAAGACTGATCTTTAATGTAAACTAACATGCGCACCTTTCTAAATTAATCGTAGTATCTCAGTATATTCCAATAAATTTTGGTAAGCCCTCAGTTTAGTTTCAATGTGATAACAGTGTCATTTCTTCGAGGTCACTGCAGCATTTAAACTGCTATTTCTGCTTGTCTAGTAAAACCTGGCTGTATAGGACAGCCAGCACTATAAGGGAGTTAGTTTTGCCATAATGAATGTTCTTTAGACATGAAGCAATACAGGTAGTTTGACATTTGTATGTCAGCAAGAACTCGATTAAAGATGCACATCTTTACAAAATACATCTTTTTCTCATAGATAACTAATTAAAAAGCTTGTTAAGAAAAGCTCTGTTATGAAGTCCCAGAATCATTTAACGACCCAGCTTTGGTATTTGTACGATAAAAACCATTTGACATATTTCATCTTTGTTACTACAAGCACTTTTATCTTAAAAGTGAATTTATAAAGGCTGATTATTGGTGTTGTCTTGTGATGGAATACTGAATACCAGTCCATAGTGCCAGTCTGTTTATTTCTGTAGGTCTGGAGTACTTGACCTCAAGATGCAAAATACATGTAAACCCATGCTATGTGAACAGCAGGCTTGAGGCAGATTTTAGGTCTGCCACTGACTTGTGTGACCCATCCTTTACCTCAATAGTTTTAAGAAGGACATTAATGATATTTGTCTGCCACTGAAGGCATATTACTTCAGTAGCAAATTTTCAAAGTAATCCAGGATCAAATTAAAAGGGACTATAATAAGTAATCTAAAATAAGCTTATTTCATGCTTTCCGTTTATCCCAACATTTGATATTAATCAGAAACTTCAGATTTAAAGCTGATATAAAATCTTTAGAACTATTACTATATTATAAATAAGTCATACACAACACACAGTAATACCTGGTTTAGACACTTTACTTTTTTTTTTTTTTTTACCTAAACATAGAACAATTTAACATACATACAGACACATTGTAGACTGTCCTAGCTTACTTTACTTGTCAAGCTTGTCAAACAATAAACACCATCAGATATAAGAGTTTGACATCAGCCACGGAAATTCCATGCCTCTGTACATCATTCTGCAGGGAAATCTGAATTTTACTACTTACACAACTCTCTCTATTTTTAAAATGAGCCAAGGTAAGTCAGGCAAAGAGAAATTCATTTACTAAATAAGCATGAATACCAGCCAGGTCTACTGTTAAACAGAGCTCAACAGCTGAAATACAAAGTAGCTAAAAATACAAAGTAGCTGAAATACAAGTAGCTAAAGCTTAAGGAAACTTTTGATGTGGAAAACAAATACAAGAAGTACAATTCTGAGAACACTGCAACCTCTACAGCTGTGGCCTTGAGTACATTTTCACTGCACAGAGCTCTTTCCCTGGAAGGGATGAATAGGGGAGGAAAACGTGCTGAACGATTATTCTGTCTGTTTGCAAGAAGGAAATTCTGGCTTCCAAATGAACAACAGCTCAGAGACATTAGAGCACCAAGAGGTGGACAGTAGGAATTTTTCAATTTAAACCCAAGACAGAAAAAATATGACAACCACAAAAATGCTTTATGAGGGCACTTGAACAAACACTTTGGAAGTCCATGGAGAACAATCATGTGGTTTCAAATTTTGTAGACTTCAGCAAAGTCATTTCTAGGTCTTGAATCTTTTTGATGGACTAGCCATATACATTTTGAAAAAAGATTTAGTCTGCAGTAGAGAGACTTGGAAGAATTTATATAGCTGCTAAGCATCTACAAGTGAAAAAAAAAAACACCGTTGCATCTTTTATTTGTATGGCATTCTGCTGTGGTTACAATATTCCTTCCCTTCACCAGAGAATAATCTCTCTGCTGAGGTTCAATAAATGAGTTCACAAAATCTGAAATACGATTGTACACAATGCCCTATAAAATGTGATAGATTTTTTCCCCTCAATAAAATGGATGGTTTAGAGAGACAAAGAAGCAAAACAACTTTTCAAAGTTTAAGTATCATGAAACAGTTCTTTCTAAAACAGCGTTGCACAGACTCAAAAATACACGAGCGTGACACACATGTAGTGCCAACACTAGGCACGCTCTGGCACCCGGTTAAGTTGTGCAAAAGAAGCACAAGGGTGCACCGGGCTCCCCCCGGGTGAGGGGAGCAAAGGGCGATGGCAAATCTCTGGGTGGCCACACAACCCTACCCGTGACTTCGCGAGCCCCGGGGACAGCCAGCGGCTGAGCCCACGGTACCACTGCGATGGGCAAGATGGGGAGAGTCAGGGGGCGGCTGCTCCCCACGGGTCCTCCCGTCCCCAAACCCGCTCGGTGGCTCCACGGACTTCCCCTGGAATTCCCGCTGCCCGGGAATACTCCGGAGCCGACTTGGTGGGGAAAAAATAATCGCACCCCGCCTTCCTCCCTCCCCCAAGCGGGCTGGAGGATGCGATGGTTGTGACGGCAGACAGACAATTAGCGAAAGCAGCAGGGGGATTCTTGCCAATAAACACCGACATTTGAGGTTAACCAGCTGTAAATCTGCATTAATCGTTTCAGGAATTCAGCTACTTTTACAAAAGCTTTCAAAGAGCAAACAAATAAGAAGTAGGAGGGGAGGAGAAACAGGAGAGAAGCCGAGCGGTCCTTACCTTCACATTGTTTCCCTTCGCCTTTATAGCCTGGCTTGCAGATGCATCTGTAGGATTTTGGTGTGTTTTGGCATATCGCATCGATATGACAGTCATCTGTAGCTTCTGCGCACTCGTCAACATCTGGAATCACAGGATAAACCCCAGGGAAGACAGATAAGACAGGAGACCTGAGACACAGAAAACGCCTATGGATACCCTCCCTGCAGAAGTCTTTGCTTGCTTGCCCTCCAAGTGTCTGTCATCCTGGAAGTGAGAACACCTAAGGCTAAATGATAAACAAGCCAATGAGTTATTCTCACTACATCTAAGCACTGCCTTTTGCCGTCCACGAACCTAGAGGGGCTCAGTCCCACGTTTCTGCTTTAAGCAATCATTAAACTTACTAGAACTTAGTGGCTGTTGTATAGGTCTGGTGGTGGAGATGCACATCTCGGTTAGATAAAACAAGTGAGCATGTAAATGACCCAAGAGAAGAAAATCCCATTTACATGTTCTAGCAGAGACCTCAATTTAGAAAGAGATACCCTAGTTTAAATAAACCATGCTGGCAGGGGTATGAGGGAAATGAACTATCTGAAGAGCAAAACAATAGGAATCCTTTTTATTAAGAGGCAAAATGGAAATAAATGGGAAACCGCATGAGGCTCGGTAAGTTAGAGCGGAGAAAAGCAACCTGCGTTAACAACCCCCCCCCCCCCCCCCCACACACACACTCACCCGACCAACCCTAACCGGGGGAAAGGGGCCCGGAGCACACCCGGCATTGCCCGGGGATGCCGGGCTCTGAAAGGGGGGAACCTGCCCGCTGTCCTTGCTTTCAGGGGAGGAAAGCCTTCACAAACATTTCAGTGACAGGCATTCGTTTTCTCCCCCGGCCTTAAAGAGGCTGGGGGGAGGGAAGAGAATGAAAGCAAGTCGAGGTTTGGTAGTCGTGGGAATGTTAATGAAGTGTATGTAGAAGGAGAAAGAGGGGAAGAGACAAAACAAACAAACAAACAACAACAAAAACAAAAAACTCGAACTAGGCACACCAAAGTGAAAGCGGGTTTATTGTCAGCTTCAAATTCCAACGTTAATCGGTTCCGAAGTGCTCGCTCAGGCATCCCCAGCGCTGAAACACGGATCCTCCAAGGTCCCCGGCAGAGGAGGGGGCGATGGGGGAGTAATGGGGGAGTGCATGCAGCACAGCATTGCGCCCAGAGGCGCCCAGTGGCACACCGCAGGGCTTCTCACAAGAGGACTGCCTCCTGGACTCGTCTTTTTTTTTTTTTTTTTTTTTTTTTTTTTAAATGGAGAACGTTTTTCCCCTCCTAGACGCACTGTTGTGTTTCCTCGAGAATCGCCGGGCTGCTGCACTCTGTTCCCTTCTTTCTTGCCCGTTCGTTTCTTTGAACTGCTCAGCCAGTTCAGACTTAGCTATGATTTATGTGAATTCGCTTTGGGGGTCCGAGGGTGTTGTCCAGATAAGACACAGATCCAGTCAAGTACAAAAAGAAAATAAGTTTTTTCTCGTTTTCCTCCAAACGCTTTGGTTCATACTTTTGACTCATTAAACCGGCACCCATCTCACCCATCAAGATCAGCAGAAGTGACAGCTGGACTCTTTGTAATGCCGTCAAAAATCCGAACTGCATTGAGCCAAAGGGGACATTTCACAGCAACCAGAGGATGCCTGAGAGTCAGGCGTGAATGCCAATGAGTCAAATGAAAGGGCAAAACCAAATATGAGCCCCATGCTCTACTCCACATCTCACGTTGCATTTCAGGGACTTGAAGAACTTCTACACTCACTCCTTTCATTTTGTTGCATTTAAAGTCAGTATCTGGGCAAAAGACGATTTCTTATACCCCTTACCCCCTGTTTTAAGGATTTCTCCTAGCACAACTTTAGAGACTACATACACATCTTTAAGAAATTAGTCCTGGCTTACAACATTCCTAGGCAGATTTTTTTTTTTTTTTTTGAAACATTAGAGCCAAAACTTAATATCATTACTGCTATTAGACAGATCCGAGCGCGGCTGTTAAGAAACACCAGGTTAATGCGCAAACAGGGAAAGAAAACCTGAGACGATAGAGCAGCCTGCGGACTCTCCGGGGCTCAGCACAGATTTATATCGCAGGCACTTAGGGAACTTTTTTCTCCCTAGCCTCTCCCCCGTTAGTCCTTAGGCTCTGGCAGTGCCGACGCGAGAGTACGCCTCCCCACCGCAACCTGCGGCACCCCCGCCGCCTCTAGCAGCGAGCAGCCACCTCCCCGACGCCTTCAGCCGGGGACGTCGGGTGGACACAGTCCCCCCGGGACCAGGACCCCCTCCTCTTACCTGCACCCCCGCTGCCTCCCGTCAACCTGCCAGTCCAGGCGAGGGCGAGAAGCAAACAGCAGCGCCACGGAAAGCCTGCAGCGCCCATGTTACCACTGCGAGCCCCAACCCTCGGTGCCTGCCTGCGCCGTGCGGAACGCGCTCGGGGCCGGCCGCCGGCGCTGACGCCCTGGCAGCGCCCCACCGATTCGCCGCCGCTTCGGGGGCGGGACGGCGCCGGCCCCTCAGCCTGCCCCCTCCCCGGCCCCTCCGCCCCCCTGCCCTGCTCCCTGCCGGCTTCCCCTCAGCCGTGTACCCGCTCGCGCGGGGTCACTAAAGGAGCTACCGGCCGCGGCTTCGCCCCTCGCCCCGGCCGACCCCTCGCAGGTAACAGGGTGGCCGCAGACGGGTTCGGTCCTTCCACCCTAAAAATTTCCCCTCCGAAAGGGGCAAGGCGCGACGCCGCCGCCTTCCAGCCCCAGCATTTCCAGTAGCTGGCACGCAGCCCCCGCTAGGGCTTCGCGCCCCTGCCCATTTCACGCTTTTGTCCATTCCACCAGCGAAAGGTTTTGCTGCTTTTGCGCCTCTGCTCTAATTCCTAACTCTCTGCCACCCAGCTGCGACATACACTTGTCACCCGGCTAGCACGTGAACCCCGCCACAGCCTAACGTGCCGCTTCTCGGCAACTCGTGTCCAGTGCAGGCATGTGCAATTGCAAGTGTTGCTCAGCACCGCCAAGCGTCCCAAAGCCCGAAGAGACTGGAAGGACGCGTAAGAGAGTTGCCCACTCCAGCTTCTCGAAAAGTACGCACCACGATCTTTTTCCTCCATAAAACTCAATAATTAGGGCACGGCGTAAAAACTGTTTGCTTTCTGAGTGTTTACACCTTTGGGCAATCGCTTCCCTAATCCCCTAGAAGTGGGACGCTGGCATCAGTATTTTAATTTCGGTCCCATATTTTTGTGTTAATATCTTGAGGTGCGATTGTGAATTCAATGCTCCAGCTTTCTCCTAGATACAGAGAGCGTTTCTTCCACGTGGGTCCCTAGAGGTACATTAGAGCTCCACCTAGTGAGTTTTATGGCATGCTGTAGCTGAATCGTTCGCCCCAATCATTGTCTGATAGTGGTATTTAACTCACTAACAGCAATCTTCCTTGGAAAGGCTTCTTATTTTCAAAGACTTTGTAAGTATGTGTTTTGCCTGGGTGAAAAATAAGGCTAACCCTCCTTATTAGAGTTCTTGTTTATTTTCTTTCCTCTTTAATTTTGTAATTAATTGGTCTTGCCCTTCAATTCCATGAAATCATGCTACTTAATTGAGGTAAATTGTCTGAAAAGCATTTTTCATGAAATAATTCACTAGAACTGTCTAAAAATGAGCTACTTCAAATTTTTTTGAGGTCACAATGTAATAAAAAGATTTGCTAGAGCAACAAAATACTCCAATTGCCTTTGTGACTTGCTGTCTAGCATGCATTAAAAGTGTCACATTGAGTGCATGTGTTAAGTTATTCTTACAGAAGTTACTGCAATCGCCTTCTGTCTTCCCCAGTTCTGTGCATTTATTATCTGTACATCAATACCACCTCCCACGTAGCACTCAGGAAAGGAAGTCACCTTGATCCAAATCTATCACTCTACGCATGCATTTCCTTATATATTCTGAGGGTGGCATGCAATTAAAAGCCAAGGATACTTCATAACATCTGTCCATTATCTAGCAAGCTTTTTCCTCATTTTTTTCCCCTTAAAAACAAAACAAAACAACAACAACCAAACAACAACAACAAACTATGTGGAAATACAGTGGAAGCGGGTCAGAACCTGATCATCACATTCAATAAGGAATACAGTCTACAGTGCCAGGCTGATATTTCCATAAGGGTCTTTTCAGCAGTTTTCCTTGCTAATGGTGACATCTTAGAAAGATAATCCCTTTGGATTTTTACTTTTTCCACTTTAATTATGTTTCTGTTCTTGTTTATAATCATATAAAAATCCTGTGTCAATTGCACAGAGGCTTCTATTAAAAATTTAATATTGGAATTAATGACCAAGAAGCTTCTAGCATGGGAGCTTCAGAGTCAGTTGCTTGACCATAAACCTTCTCTGTATAACTATGGTGAGCAAGAGCTCCTTGAATCTAAGTGGGGGCTCCTAGCCTGGGAACCCCTATCATTGCCCTTAAGTCCTGCCTGAAAACTTTTGGGAAGTCTGCAACAACAGACTTTGATTGTGGACTGCACAGACTTCTAATGTGTTAAAAAATAATAATATTTCATTAGGACCCATCTCTTTACTGTGTAGAAGGTCCCTGAACACCTGTGTACCAGGGAGGTAAATAACATTAATAAATATTAACGTTAGTGTTTAATTAAACATTAAAAACATTAATAGAAGTGTCTGCTGAGCAGTAGCCTCACCTCCAAAACACTTTAAACCACATACATGGACCATTCCAAAAAATACTTTGAGAAAACAGGAAATACTTTGAGAGGACAGCATCTGCAGAATTACTTAGTTTCCCAATTCACTATTTAAGAACACCTGTATATTGGGACCAACAGTGCTAGACCCCCAGCACTGAGGGGGTGGGGGAGGTCCACCTGTTCAAGACATCCATAAGGAAAATTTTATACAAGAAGCAGAATCCATAATAAAGTTCAACGTCAGACAGAAAGTATTCAGGTACCCTCCCCCCCCCCAGAGGATGGGAAATTATATAATGGTTCATCAATACATGCATGGCTGGAGGACAGTTATTCTCTTGTTCCTACTGTAACATTACTTTCCTCCAAAACATGTCTCCTCTT